TAATTCTTAATAAATATTCAATAATTGTTGTTGATTGCAGATGTGTCTAGTAGTTCCCATTGATTTAGCTTGGAAAGCGGGGAGAATGGCGCTAGGCTTACCGCACCGTGACGTCACTGCTGGAAGATGGCAGGAGGGAGGGGCTACTATATTTGGGCAAAGATGGCCGCTCCCAGACTCAGTGATCGCAACGGATTTTTTTTCTTTTTGTTTTTTATTGATTAAAGCTAAATTCATTGAATCCCTGTGAACGTATTAATATTAGGTATAAATAATGATGAATTGATCATTCCTTGCTGACTGGACTTTTCCTTAACTTAACTGAATATATTTTTTCTCATATTTTTTTTTCCATATTTTACCTCTAAAATGATCTTTTCTGAACAGATTGTGAGAAATCCAAGTTGAACAGAAAGGAAACCTGAAACTCTTTCTGTGCTTTAGGAGCTTCTGACCCGATGCTGCTCAAACTGAAGGTGTGTTCTCACCGTGACGTGTTCGTAGTCCTGTCCCAGCTCATGGGACCCGGCCACCACCTCCCTCTCTGCGATCCACTGCTCCAAGTCGTCCACCTCCCTGTTGAGCTGGAAGAGTCGGAAACGCTCGTCCAGCTTCCCGCGTCGTTCTTCGGCCAGGTCCTTCAGGCCGGCGTACAGCTTATCCACCTTAGACTGACGCATGCCGATGCGCTCGCTGCAGGAGGAGCAGAGCATCAGCATTTGGTCCCCGGAGCTTTTCCCTCTAACAGATCAGAGCCTCACCTGTCAGGGTGGCCTGCAGCCACCAGGCCCCGGCTGGTGCTGGACAGCTGGTGGACGGTGTCGGCGTAATCCTCCACGGCCTGCTCCAGGATCTGGTGCTTCTTCAGCATGGCCACGGAGCTCTGCTCGTCCTGCGACACAGAGACACGCCGTAAAGGTGAACTGAAAGGTTTCATCACAACAAACCAGCAACGACCGCAGGAGGAAACGAGAGCGAAACGTGGAAGTAAAACGAAAAGTAAGAGAAGAAACACGAAAGCTGGGAACAGCAGGGAAATTACAACCGACTTCAAAAGGAAACTGAAATAAAAATCAGGTTGAGATAAATGAAACAAAGTTAAACAGAAACAGCATTTAGAAAAAACACAGAACTACTGATTGAGACCAAGTTAGAGAAAAGAACACTGGAAAAAATTGAAATCTAGTCATTTTTTCTTAAAATAAGTGTATTTGTTCTTATATTGAGGAGATAAGAGAGACATTTTGACAATGGAACAAGACAATTTACATTTAAAATAAGAAAACATCATTGCATTGTCATCTAATTATCTTATTTTAAGAGTAAAAATACTCATTCCATTGGCAAATCATCTGATTGACCTACTCAGATTAAGGGTAAGGATAGCACACAGGAAAAACGATCTAAAAATAAGAAAAAAATGTCTTAAAGTGTATTTACCCTTAATTTGAGTAGCAAAATGACTCTTAAAACTCTTAAAATAAGATAATTAGATAATATGCACTTGATATAAGACAATGCAATTGTTTTTTCTTATGTTAAACGTAAATTGTCTTGTTCCATTGATAAAATGTTTCTTTTAGCTCCTCAATCCAAGAACACAAAATGACTTATTTAGATTTAGATTTTTTCCAGTGCAGGACGGATCAACTCAGTTGCTGCATTTTAGGTTTTTGAAAGCTGAAATCTGAGCACCAGAGGACGAGAATGTTCACATTTTGGACAAAGAAGACAGGTGGTTTGAGAGGGGCGTGAAGGAAGCCATCTATGTTAAGAAAGAAAAACCAAACGACCCCCATTCCAAAGGGGGGGACCCGTTCATCCGTTTCTATTTGCATGTTTTCTAAACTAAAACCAGGCTTAGTTGGGCTGCTGGATAAAACCTGGAACTAAACGCTATTTCTGACATTTTGAAATGAAAAAGCTGTCAGTATGGAGCGCAGACTCTAAGCCGCACAAAGATGCATTTCTGCACAAGAACAGCTGGAAGAGCAGAGTTTGTCGGAGTTGAACACTCAGTCCCGGATCATTCTGGATCACTTTCACCCCCGCCTCTGCTCCCATGGTCCAGCTGCGGTCATGCAGAATGTGAACCGCCGCACGCCAGGAGGGCGGCATGACCAGACAGGAAGCAGCAGCACAGTGATGCATTTTAAAAGTCTGACCGCCCACTTGCTAACGTCTTTATTTAGTCAAGAAAAACTCACACCCATGAGTCGTCATGTTTTTATCATCAAAGATCCATCTTTAGCTCGTCGGTTTTCGTTATCGTCATAAAAAAAAAAGGAGCATAATTGAAATAAAACCATCGTTGACACAAAGAAAACCGTTTCCTGGTTGTTTTTTTCCTGAATTCTAAATCCTAGACTTTCTACCTTTTCCCATCAGTGAGACCCAGAGGAAGCGGAGATGTCCTCTCACCTTGGCCTTCTCCTCTGACATCATGTACAGCTCCTGCTCGCTCATCCAGGCCTCGGCCTCGGCGGCGTCGAAGTAGTACTGCTGGGCCTCGTGGGCCTCGCTGAGCCGGGAATGCCGCTTCTCCGTCTCCTTCTTGATCTGATCCCACAGCGCCTGCAGCTCGGTCAGCCTCTGGCGGATGGGTTCCGCCGTGGGGCTGTCGGCCCTCAGAACGTGCTGGCTGCGCTCAAAGATGTCGTCAAATCGAGGCTGATGTCCCTGGATCTCCTTCTGCAGCGTCTGCAGATTAAACACAAACAAGGTTTTTTATTTCAACCGACAAATAACAGAAACTTCCCTTCATCTTCAGACTGGAGTTCAAAGAACGTTTAGTCTCAGAAACTTTCTTTCCTACGTTCTAGAAAAACAATTATTGGAGCTTTGCTTATTATTATCTTCTCCAGACATAAAAAAAAATGGAAACTAAAACAGAAATTGTTTGGTCTGAAAAACATTTATTGCTCTAATAGATGAAGATGCCCAAACTCCTCAGCATGTTTTTCCTTTAGGGTATTAGTGTTGCGCCGATGCCATTTTTTGGCCCCGATACCGATACCCGATACCTGGCTGTGCAGTATCGGTTGATACCGATACCATAACAATGTAAAACAATTGCCATTATGGCTTTGTCAAGCTGCTGCCTACCTTTGTGAAGCAGGAAAAAATCTA